ATGAAAATCAGCGTTTGACAAATTGGTTGGGCTGATCCCCCTCCTCTCAATTTTTATGCTATTTGATTCGTCCACTTATTTGTTATCTGGGATGTTTACAAACACACTTACATTGAAAGGGGGCAGCACCCCTTCGGTTGAACGATGAAGTTCTCTTATGAGTTCCAATGCCTTCTCTCCAAACATCTCAGCAGTGTTGGCGGGGTTTTCGAATTTACCTCCTTATTCTTAAAAGTAGTTAATTTCTCAATATGTGTGTTCGTCAAAAATTTGAAAGTGACAAAAATAAACATATCCCACCTTTACCGAACCTAAATAAAAAAATCTCATCTCATGCAATGTCTGCCAAGTAAGCATAAATATATAAAACTAATAACTGCAATGAAAACGAATGAGATATTGCTCAAAATTCGAATATTGTGTTAAAAGTTGGTGGCTCACTTTTCCCATAATGCTGTGTAACCTCAAGGGCGAAGGAACTTGTGTTATTTCATGTTTGTCGTTACTACGACAGGACGTTTAGTTTGATATATAGTTTCCGCTGAGTCATGCGTTCAAGAAGTACGGCGAAAACTACCAATGCAGGTGGTGAAAACAAAAATGCACAAACTGTGACCGGCAAAGAAAAGAAAATGGCGAAGGGAAAGCCCCGAAGGTTTGTACGTATGGCACATCGCCGTGAACTTTGTGTACTGTGTACATGTACTAGTACTGTAGTGTGGACTAAAATAGCATGTTCAGACCAGCACATGCATGAGTCATGTTTTCTATACAACCCAACAAAACGGCAAGGTAAACCATTTTGCCCTGCACCATTCGCAAACATGCGGGTCGTAATTTAATTAACGGGGTATGACGTAATATATGTTGAAGTACATTGTACGACCCTGGCGCAGCGAAACCACGGCTGTCTCGCAGATCGGTCTTTTTCAGCCGTATATGTAGTGCATGTGCTTGTAACAATGCACATAATTCCGGCACACAACATAATATTCTAATGATTAGTAATTCAACATCATAATAATTTAGTTGCTCAAGAACCTCATTTAGAATTTTCATTCAATCCCTTCCATTACTTGATATTGAATTTGTTTTCTTTTTCTTGTAGGCACACACGTAGTTTCTTAGGAACACTGTTAAAAGTTTTAAAATACTTTATACTATTTGTATTTGTATTTTATCTGTCGTTCCCATTTTTGTTAAACATATTTCCAGTTGTCCCACGAGAACTTACTTTTCTCAGCAAAGGTAAATATAATATTTTTCACTACAATTACAACTGTTTATAAATAAATCTTTGAATGAGAGTTATCAGATATGTATGTATGTACTTGGTATTTATTTGTTGCAACAATTTTGAATCACAGGCTCTCTATTTCAATTATTAAATAGGACCAAATCAAATGTACATCATCAAAAATTGGATCCAATGCTAGAATTAAAGAAAAAAATATGAAAAAGAAAATTGGGTTAAATGTTGGTATCAATTAAAATGTAAACAACATTGTTTAAGGTTAATCTAAAAACATTTGCCTGGACTCTATGGCACTGATAAGGAATTGTTTTTTCTAATTTGTCAATGGCTGTACAAATGTCATTGTTTTGAAATTTTTTACGACACAAACAAGAGTGTCAGTGATTTTCAGAAAATGTTGTCTTCTGAAATGTCAGTGAGAATTGAGTGGTTTATACTATATCATGATATAAACAATAAATAATTTCATATTTGCATATATTGTAATTCTATAGTGTTTAGTCTGATTCATGATTGTTTTATTTTACTCCACAGTGAGATGGCCGTATTTTGTGGATTTTAATCATCCTGAAAACTATAATGTAACTGGAGGGAGAAATATTCACATAAAATCAACAGATGATGTGACACTTGGAATTTGGTGAGAACAATTATTTCATTTCATTTAAATTTCATCAATTTGAATACAAAAATAAAACTGGATCATATTCTGTTCATAGTGTAAAGTCATCCACGTGACAGTTATTTTTTACCGTATGGATTGTAAAACGATTCACACCATTGTTTTGTTGTCTTGGTTGTCAGTGGATTTTGCTAGGTTGAAAATTCAACAAAATCGAGTATTTCTGCCATTCTGGAACTGGATCTAGATCTCGGTCATGTATGGATAGATTTTTTTCCTGGTACATATACATTGGACATTATAGGGCCTTGATGCATGTCATGTTGTTTCTCAGATTGGATTTAAAATTGCAAACTGATGACCATTTGGTTTTAATGGATGTTGTTCTAGAGCAGTATTTCTGAAATGTCTTGACCGGTCATGTTCAAACTTCATACATGTATATACATCATGTCACACATGCACTGAACAATTCAATTCAATTCAAGATGGTTGAATGGCGGCATTTTAATGTTAAAAATTCATCATGGCTATCTTGTTTTAGCGAATGCATATGTACAGTGTATTCAGTCAACTAGTACTGATTCTTTATAAAATTATTTATTAATTTTAAACTCTTTTTTTTTTTTTTGATGGATAAAATCTGAGCGTAAAAAAAAAGATGTTTATTTTCATGACTGTTCTATGTCTGTATGCAAAGTGATTAGACAAACTATCTTTAAAATATTATTTCTTTGTTGGTTTGTTTTGATCAGGCTTTGACCTGACTGGAAACAGATGTCAATGACACACATGTTTATACACATGGGACTGGTCATTATAGAAATTAAAGAGAACCTGTACACACCTGTGTCATTTATCCATGTCAACTCTATAAATGGTAGAATAGAGATACAATTCCAGTGACACTCATTAGAAATGTTTATGTCTATTGCCAGGCAAATATTACCAAAGAGTCTTCTAGAAAGCAGTCAGGAAAAAACATCTGAATATTATGAAAAAGCTTTATCTGATGGTAAACATGTTATTCTCTATTTCCATGGTAACTCGGGAAACCGGTAAGTGGAAATGTGTGCACGGTGCTCTTCATTACATCATTATTTTCTTAACTCAACTGCATTTGTTGGACCATAGCCGCATGTGGTTTTTGATATGTGATAACACAGCTGCATGTAACGTGGGAGTGGTTTAGTGTCACTTGGAGAGTTCAAAACATTCTCAATTAGCTTTCCTGACCCAGAATACTAGTGTAGTAAACTTGTTGCCTTAAGATCAATAAAGTTTTTCTCCATTGAAAAAATCACTCAGTGTTATTTATAAAACTCGCCAATAAAGAAACTGCCAGGGCTTGTTAAATTTTGCGATCCAAAATTCTAAAAATGCCTTGGACTGATTGAAGTTGTAAAGACAAAATTTGACTAATGCTGAAGGCTATACAGATGGCTGATGCCATACTGATCTTGCTAGTACTGTATCACTGAAGCATGTATAAATGTAGTGTACTCACCTGTTTGTTTGTTTGTTCATTGCATTGCTGCATTGGGTGCATACTAAGAATGGGTGTTGTCATTATCTATTCCTCTTCACCCCTCTTTTAGGGCGAGAGATCATCGTGTGGAACTTTATAATGTTCTGTCTGGAATTAATTACCACATCATAGCTTTTGATTATAGAGGTAAGCACTATGCGTTTCATCATCAAAACGAAAATATTTTCCTTTCTTACCCACTAGAGCTTTCGCCCATCGCATTGAACTTTACAACTTATTTTCATGGCAGGATTATCATACGATAGCATTTGATTATAGAGGTAAGGTTCGTTCTGCTCCGCCATGATGCATTGATGTCAGCAATGACGAGATCTGTTCTCGTATTTATTTATTTATTTATTTATTTATTGATGTAGTATCATCTTGGATGATACACTTGACTCAATACATGGTTTGGTTGTACATGTAACAGTAAATAATTTGTTACATTGGAGATGATTAAAACGCACACAAAACTTCTTTCACTTTTTTGTACTTTGCCAAATTTTACACCAACTTCACCCAAATGGCTCATCAAGATTACGAGCTCTTAATAGAACTGATGTAAAAAAAATTTAGTCCTCGTTCAAAGGCATGTTTTGACATCTGTGCGTCCGTGCATGCATCCAAACCTGTATCTTAGAAATGCCTCGACCAATCACAATCAAACTTCACACATACATCATACATTATATTGTACATATGCATATCAATTTGTTTCATGATCTGATTCAAGATGGTCGAATTGCGGCCATTTTTGTTCTAAAAATCATCAAAATCAAGCATTTCTCGGCTGTTTACATATGGATTTTGTTCAAACTTGGTATATATGTTGGACATTATTGGACCTAGATGCACATCATTTTGTTTTCAGATAAGATTCAAAATGGCCAACTGGCAGCCATTTTGTTTTAATGAATGTGGTTCTAGTGCCCTATCTCTGACTTGCTGTGACTGATTATGTTCAAATTTTAAATATCTATTATACATCATGTCATAGATATACAGATATATTGCTTTGACGATTCTATTAAAAACTGCCAAATTGTGGTCATTTTTGTGCTAAAAAATCATCAAATATCGAGCATTTATGGATGGATTTTGTTCAAACTTGGTACATACATTAGACATTACGGGTTCCTGATTCAGAATGGCTGACTAGTGGCCATTTTGTTTTAATGAATGGGCTTCTAGAGCCATATCTCTGACATGCTTTGACTGACTATGTTTTATATATTCATTATACATGTATTCAAAATGTCTGATTTTGTTTTAATTAATGCTGTTCCAGAGCAATATCTCTCAATACTCGTTTGACAATCAGATAAAAATGTAAATCATTTAAATGTTAAACAATCATCATAATCATATTCCTGACATGTTTATATTCCGGCTATATTACTATAAACAAAACTATATATCTTAAATTCAATAACTAATGGGGACTGTGCCATGCATGGCTTGTCAACATTCTTTTTGCAGTCACACATGATTGACTATCAGACACAGATATTTAGCAATATGACATGACTTGGAATTATTACCATTTAGTATGTCGTTACATTCTATAGGTTATGGTGATTCCAACGGCACATCAAATGCAGTAGGTATCTTACAAGATGCAGAGGTGATGTATAAATGGCTAAAACCAAGAATTGGAAAAGCAAAATTGTACCTGTATGGACATTCACTAGGAACGGCGTAAGTCAACTATGTTAACCATTTTATGAGCACACATTCTCCTCTACAACGACACTGGTATTTCTGTAATGTACACTAGATGGTCCAATTTCCATTTTGCCATCTTTCCCGAAACGGAATCTGCATAATTTTTTTCAAGAATTTATCAAGAATTTGATTCATAATCCTTTAACAAATTCAAAATTATTAGCGCTTAGTCAAAAATTAACAAGAAAGTTAGTTGAGCTGGTCATGAAGTTACTTATTTTGTCATGGCATTTCAGCTTAGCATTATAAGAATAATACAGTGAAGTATATATTTTTGTTTAATTTCTTATCAATTAATCTATCTATTATATTTCTTTGTTCACAGGGTTGCTACAGCATTATCAAGAGAGTTATGTGATGCAGGTAAGGTCAACTTCCCAACATATATATTGCACTTCTCAGATGATCTACACCATCATTCACTACCATTGTATGAATGTCGTGCCTTAAGTGTAGGTTCTTTTTAAGAGCCTCTAATTAAAAAACTTGCATATAAATATAACGTGCTTGCATAATTAAAGGGCAGAGTTCACCATGACACGTTGTGTTCATGTTTTAAAATTTGTCAAATATAATTTTATCGAAAAAAGCATTGTACAAAACTTTAAAATTAAATTTAAATGATTTGCATCAGTATTTTTTAGTTCAGTGCAGCAATAATCTTGCACTTTTTTGCTTCATGTTTAATATGGCGACTCGTACAACGTTTGTAAAATATATTAATGTTTTTAATGAAATTCAGATACGTGCTGCATGGTGAATAACTACTCTTTAATTAAATATCGTCATCGCATAGTTTTTTCAGTTAATCCATACCATGCATTATCATAATAGTACATATAAATTGTATTAGGTGAATGCCCTAGTGGTTTAATATTGGAATCTCCATTTACTGATCTTATTGATGAAGCCAGGAATCATCCATTGTCAAGGGTACGTTAAAACTGTATTGTATCATTCTAATACATACAACTATAACTACATGTAGTTGCACCCATAACTTCACTAGAACTTTGAACATCTTATGTGGCCTAATGTGTGCATATTTTTAGTTACTGCAAGCTCATAGTTGACAAGAAGAGCTTAAAAATATAATGTACAATTCTAACCTGCTTAGGAAGTTGCTTGCACACGCAACAGCCTCCATTCTCACCTTTCATACGAATATGTTGATTGGCATCACATTTGCAATTCATGTTAATTGTTATGACAATTTAATGAGTAGCGCCAGTTATGTGTATATTTAAAGTGCCTGTGCAATGCCCACCCTCATGTTTCCCATTTTAGATCTGTGTCCCACTGAAATGGGCAGTTATTGATTTTTTTGCTGAAAATGATTACTCGTATCTAAGTAAATTTGGGATATTTCTCGTGTTGTAGCCACGCCCACCTATCGTGAAATGGTCGACTGTTTCCGGATTTCAGACTCTCGCCGAAAGTGCGCCACCAAATGACAAAATGTGAGAGGAAGTCATACCGCTGAGCCTTAATAACACTGGTCATTCAGTATACTTTTAAACGTTATACATTTTTCGGTCGGCGTTTTTTTTTCGATCTCGATTAATTTTGTTATCCAATTAAACACCGTGTTCGCCTGTTTCAACAGAATGTCAATTTATTTGCACGCGGCTAGAATTTATTTAGTAACTGTGATTTCTCGTTTTTTTAATTATTTTATAGTGATCACTATAGTTTAATGTTTAGAATGTCGAAATATGTTCTCTTTTATTTTAATTTTGAAAGTTTTACTCAGATGATCGATGAAATAAAGCAGTGTAGTGACGTGCCTAGTATCCTGCTAAATAACAAGATAATTCCGACGTCAAATTCTATTTTGTCCAGCGACAGTGCACAAACGTGCGCCATGCAACAACAGTTCATACTATGTGTTCATTATGGTTCATTCTTTCTCGACGAACAAGTACATAAGTGACAAGTTAGTCAAAGACGAGAAAACTGCACAAGAAATTTGCCTTATTTACACGTATCGGCAATGCAAGCTGCCATGCGACTTCCCCTTCTGACGTCACAAGGGGAATTTCTGTATGCAAATGAGAAGCTAATAAGGAGCCTCAATTTAAAATACACAAAAATAAAGTTGCCGTAGACTGAGTTTAAAACACATTGTTTCACTTAAAAAAAATAATTTATGCTTAGAAACATAAAAATTAATAATATTTATGTATCAGTGGATAATTTTTGGCGTGAAAATAGCAGCCATTTCACAGGCACAGAAATCCTGCTGTACTTGTTCATTGCCCCGTTTTGACTTCAAACTTTAATTGCTGTTACCTGTAGTGTTGAAAACACTTTATGTACTGACTGGGGTATGGTAATTTAGTATGATCTATTTCTAACTAAAAAGCTTGACAGTCAGAGTCCACTGCTCTGTGCAGTATAGTTCTAGTATACATTTTCTGGCATTGGATTAAATAAGGTCACCAGTAGGTTTAGGCCCCTGCCTTGAATTGTATGATATCCTGAAAAATATGCAAATTAGTATGCAAATTAGTCCGTCATGCTTGCCTCTGATCCTGGGGAGAACACTGGTATCAATCTTTTGTATTAGGAAAACTATGGTTTAGAAACATTGTTATTTTATTGGTGGTGATTCCTGTTTGTATATATTGACCTTTCAATGATGAAATCTTCACAGATTTATCAGCATAGTTGATGAATAAAATCACTACTGTATTAATATTCATAGTCATATATCAGATTTTGGGGTACGAAGAAATCTATAAGCAGCCGAAAAATAATTTGATAGGAGCTGTTTACATCAGTTAGATTTGAAAGATACTGAGCTGTATTGTTAAGGTTCATTATAAAAAAAATTATCAAGTTAACTCGAACTTTTTTTCTTTGGGTCATTTTGCATGATCAAAAAAATCTGACTGATATTTAGAACATGCTTTACAAAGCAGTGAAAGTGGTTGAACCTTCATAAAAATCAGTCTGACCATTTCTAGAAATAAATATTGGTAATGCAAATAAGCGAGTCTGTGAAAGAACTCATTAGTGTTTCACTAATATCTTCATTTATTTTCCAAGCATGTAATACTTACCATTATCTTATTAATCTTTGGTTGTATGCTGCATGTAATTCTATGCTTTATTTCGTGCTGTTTTTTAATTTCAGTTTTGGAAGTTTTGGCCAGGTTTTGATCAGATGTTTTTGAATGCATTCCTAGAGTCTGCAATTCCTTTCAACTCTACTGAAAAGTGAGTATTATCAGATGGAGAAAAGACTAAGAAAATTATACGAAAACTTCTATTTGAATGAGCAGAGTTGCATAAATATTTTGAGTTCAATACAGCTCAATACAGTCTTACACCTTTGTGCCTCACACTTATTTTTCGTTATACATTTAATGTGTTAGTAGTATGAACCAACGTTTGATGTGACCAGTTTAAATTATTCTATCAGGTAGTAGGAAGCAAATACAATATTTTTTTTTTCTCTTCTTATATAAATTTCTTTTTTTTTTTACAGTATTGATTATGTAAAGTGCAAAATATTAATTATGCATGCTAAGGATGACCTTGTTGTGCCTTTCATTCTAGGAGAAAAGGTAAGATAACTGGGGGTTGGGGACTTGCATATGTCTGAGATGATTCAAAATGCAGGGGTCAGAATAACAAACAAATACCTGGGACAAGATGCTGCTACAACATCAGTCAAAATCGTGTTAGGATCTTGTTTCTTAAAGTAATTATCAGTCCCTATAGGATGAAGTACAAAACAGGAACTTGTGTTTTAGGTTCAGTATGTCTGGTCAGTCAGCCAGCCAGCCAGCCATCCATCCATCCATCCATGTGTGTGCAAGTCTGTTGGTCTGTCTGACATTTCTCGGACATGCCTTGACCAATGTTGTTTAAAGTTGGTGCAAAGGTACAAAGACGAGTCATAATGTGAGACATACTGTGGAATACTTTATTTTTGCTGAAATTGATTTTCGCTGAAAAGGCTTTTTGGGTGTTTTGGATGGAATTTATTTTTACTGATTTTTGATGAGTTTAATGTGAAATATAAGAAAAAAAGTATATTCGCTGGATTTTATTTTCATGGAATCTTCCCTTCAGTGAAAATAGCAAAAATAAATCCCAAGCGAAAATAAAGTATTCTACAGTATACAGGTTTTTCGTTCCGACCATGTGCTTTTATTCTTGGTACCACATAAACATTTAGGTTCAGTATGTCTGGTCAGTCAGTCAGTCAGTCACAACATTTGAATATATTAATAATAAACATTTTTCATTGTTCATAATTAATGCAGTCACTAAAACTAAAAACAGGGACTATGTCATTGACAATGACTTGTTTTTAATGTAAATGTGGGTATCATGATAATGACTACCGGTACTATAAAATACTTTTATTTTAGCTGGAATTAATTTTCGATCAAAAGACGTTTTGGGTGTTTTGTATGGAATTTATTTTCACTGATTCTTGACGAGTTGAATGTAAAATATAGGAAAAACGATATATTTGCTGATTTTATTTTCACTGAATCATTACTTCAGTGGAAATAGTGAAAATAAATTCAAAGACAGCATTCTTATATACAGTGTAACCTGTCCAACCCAAACCCTTTTCAGTCCCTATTCATACATATGCTTATAAATTTAATTTGATAAAATTTGACTGCCTTTCCAGCCATCTGGTTATAAGTCATTGAATTCAATTAACCTTGGTATGGAGACTATACATGTTCAGGGTCCATAGCATTGGAAAAATCCTTTGAAAGTCTTTAGATTTTTTGAGGTCTAGAAAGTCTTTCAGTTGTCTTTAAATTGCAGGAAAAATTAAAAAAATCTTTAAAAAGCCTTTAAATTTCTTCATAGTTATTAATTCATTTTAGAAAGGCCTGTTTTGTCCAGGGAACTTTGTTGAGCTTTGGTGATGATGTAGGCCTGAATTAAATGTTTTGGAAAAAATGCAAGAAAGTTTGGAAAAAGGTCTGGAAAAGTCTTGGAAATCATCTGGCTCATGGTGCTATGGACCCTGATGTTGCGTTACATGTACAAATAGATACCATTACCTTGCATTTTTATCTACTTACAGTTAGCACAACATGCTGGAAAAAATCGCCCGGCTGGAGCTGGTGCTTTGAAGTTTTTAGCATTCCGGGCTGACAAAGGTTATGGACACAAACACTTAGTGCGAGCTACTGAGTTGCCCAAAATCATTAGGTAATGTCTTTAATAATAAATTTTGAAAGTAATATCTTAGTAAAGATGACTTTTGAATCCTTTCACAATACCCAGGGTGACTGACATAACTTCATCTTCATTGTAGCAAGTTATTATCGTCACTTGCTTTTTCGCAATACCTTTCCAGCAGAACATGGTGAATTTCGAAAGTAGCGTAATTTTTACAAAAAATCACACTATTGTAGATGCTCAGAATTGTGTTGTATAATCTCTATTCTTTCAGTGGAACATGCAAAAATGGTTAAATATCTGCAACTTATTTCTCCCCCCCCCCCATCCCTTTACTGTAAAAGAAGAAAAATATCAATTTTGAAGAAAGAATATTAATTTTGAAAAAAATGCCAATACAATTTAGTACATGGTTCTCAATGGATTGAAAATTGAACTAAACTGGGCTTTCCACCTCACCTGCACATGATTTTTAACAAGATTTTACAGTCTGAAATTTACAGGCTCTGATCTTTTTTTTCTTTTTCTCTACAGTGATTTTATAGAAAATGCTCGAGATGAGGGCCAGCCAGCCAACACAAAACCATAAGTTTTGGATGTGAGATTACTCTTGGTTGATGTTTCTACTTTACACCATCTATATCTGCTGCACTCGCATCCATATACATGCATCCTTTAAACCTGAAATTCTATCTTCTTATAAAGTATCATATCATGCACTGGGTTTGGTTCCCTGAGCAGTCAGTTTTTGGTATCCAATTGGTGCTGTATATATTTCTATGCATTTTCTTCAATGATTTATGTAAATATACAAGTCATATTTTGCTTGTAGCTTAAAATAGTGCATTTCTGTTATGTAGGTGAGCAGCAATGTGTATATTTTAATCATAATTTTAGTAAAATAGATATTTTAAAATCACCTGGGGAATAAAAACACTATTTATACACTCTAGTCCATCCTGTATCCTATCACAGAACAGCATTTTGAGTTGAATGGTTACTCGGTCATTTTACAGAAACAAGTTGTCATGTATTCAACTTTCTATTCTTTTGTTGTACACTGAAAGATCTATATATATTTTTGGTCACCCACATCAATTCACTCCTGCATAGGTTTCACCCTTGTAAATAACTGTATCTTTAAACATTAGAAAAGAACAGGACAAAAGTAACACATTAATTTTGATGTCTCTGTGTGTGTACAGATTTGTCATGAACCTTTTCTCAGACATACTTCGAGCAAATCTCATTCATCAAACTATTATGATATCCATGCTAGTTTCTCTGGAATACAATGATTTATTCTGTTCAGTGCTGGTGCGCAGATGATACATTGAGCTCTTTGGTAGACATGTATATCTACATGTGATTTGTGCTGTACATTACGATGAACTACCTGGAATACCAAACAGGGACTGTGCATTGTCAGTGCTTAATTGTGATGGTTTAAAAATACATCGGTGTATGTAGATCAACGTAGGGTTTCCTCAAGTTGAAGGGTTTTTGAAAATAGCAATGTTAACTTTTGTCTGCTGGGCTTACCACCTGGGGTGCATTTGTTTTGTCCATTCAATATTAGTTTGATATCATTATTGAAATCGATTCTATAACATAACCATATACTTTCAAACTTTTACTCAATTTTACAAGATAACAAAAAGTTGTATATCACATTAAATTAGCAGAAACTATGTTATGAGAAAACATTTGTGCATGTCGCAAGCTAAAAATTGCATATTTGCTTGAGGTCGTATTTTTAATCATGATAATCAATCCAGAACATAATGATACCAATCACAGTCATGACTGGACAAAACATGCTCACCCTAGGTTTAATACTGAAATTTACAACTTTTAATACTTTGCCAGTGAATCAATAGCGGGGCCAGATTTCTAATCACCTTGCATGACTAATTTCTGTATTTATTGTAAGCTATTCACTTGTCTTTCAATGGGACAGTATTTTACTCTGACCACAATGATCGAGTAGATGTACTATGTATGTACTATGACCTGTGAGGGCGCTCTACTTTTCAGATGTGTAGTTTTTCCCATTGCATTGAGTGATATTGTATGTACAAATTCTGAGTTTTTTTTTTTTTTTAAACATTACCTTGGTAGTGCAATTGTATATTATTCAGTATATTTGTAAGTTGTTATTTTGTATATTCTTTCTGACTACCGGCACTGCTGTTTATTCTAACTAACAGTATAAACTAATGTATGTGAATCCCACAGTAAGTATGCTGCTCAATGCCATAGCTCATAGTGATGCAGTACTTCATACAAATGAGCTGTTCATTCCTGGTTCCATTAAACAAAATTTATACTTTGAAAAGAGTTCATTTGATGAAATTTGTAATTGGTCATGTGCAACTTCACAATCTGTTTATCATCGTATTTGGGATAAGCCAGGAGATTGATGGACAGACAGTCTGTCAAAAATTGTGCAGTGTTTTACCGCAAGCTGTGTCTGATTATATTTTAAATTAAATTGAGTTTGATTCACTCATGCGATTTACTTTGTCAGGACTTGCCTATAGATGGCGCTCATACACTAGCGGTTATTACTTTCTCTCTTCACCTGCCCTCTCAATGTATACCGATAGTCGTTAAAACATTTTTAGATATCAATGATTTGTGAACTAATTTGAGTTTTTCTACACTGGCACTGAATCCAACATGCCGTTTGAAAATAATCATATTACAAAAGCCAAATTCGATGTGAAGCATTTCCCTATTGAAAATAATCTGTAATGCCTGAATCTTGTTTTTTGGTTTGGGTTTTTTGTTTGCATAGCCTTGGAACCCTTGGGATTTGTTGTTGTGACTGTTTCACATCAAACATTAATAATTTGAAGCGAGCACCCAAAGTAAGATCTAAAATAGCCCCCCCCCCTGTTTTAATTATTTTTTTGTTATTTGAAATAACCTTACTGGTACTGGTATTATATTTTGGCACAGTTGTCTGTGTTGCATTCATCCATAGGTTTGTGGGGAGGATTAATTGGCACATTATAGTAACCAGGTAGGAACCAGACTCAAGTTTTATTTTTTATTAACCTCGCTATTTTATCTAGATAACTTAGTATACAAATTGGGTATTAATACGATAAATGATTGTACAGCCGAGAGCACAAATCGTTTTAAATTATTTGTGAACCTAAATATTTATAAATTCAAAAATACAGTCATTGCAATCAAAGGGATAGAATATTCTATATCACATCCATGCTTTTTGAAAAGGCGGTGGTACCAATTAAAAATCGTTGATTGGCTTCATATAAATGTAAACATTGGTTTGTTTCTGTTGCATACGACTTATTTACCACTTCCCTGTCACTGAGAATGTTCTAGAACCGTACTGTGTCTGGGTGGAATATTCTAGATTTTTTTTTAGAAACTGGTTGAATAGGTAATAAAACACTGTAGGAGGCAATAGAAGGTAATGAAACATTCTAGAAATTTGCAGTAAGTGTCAGACTCGTTATGTATGCCGATGTAATGGTCTATTTATAGACAGTGGAGGTATATATAGGGGAGTTGTTCAGCACTGAGTTCAGATCGGAGATCTCGTTGAATTGTATTTGAGTTTAAGTATCTAGTTATTGGAGTTTTACCGCGTTATTGTACTTGATGTTTGCAGAGTATAATAATACCAGTACCAGTTGAAACCTCATCTGTTGGCTCCGTGTTCGTATGTTATCATCGCCGCCAGGGAAGTCTTTATGTTACTGTTGCCATTTTGGTATTTGAACCATCACACCTGTACTATACCAACTACGGTAATATTATGTTGCGTGTGACAGTTTCTCTCCTTTATAAACTGAATAATTTACAACAATAATTGCCAGATTTCGTTACTAGTTTATCATGATAGTAGAAATTAACAGCTAGCGCTCAAGCCAACAAGTAAAATGGCTATTTCACCTTGGTTGTGTCAACTAATATTAAGTGTGTGTTGATCTTGCTTCCCTTTCCAGTAGCAGGAACTAAGAAAGTGGATGCATTTTTTGTACTGGTATAGTAGTCGTGGTTTTGATGTATAAAATAAGACATTGATTATACATACATAGTTATTGGTATATGTATTTTAATTTATGCATGCATGAAAGATTGAATGAATAAACAAATGTTAAAGTGGATTTTGTATGCCCATGTTGTTCTGTGATGTCGCTGAGCATTACAAATATTTTTTGTGAAGTCATTGGATAATGGGCAAACACTAGGTGATGAAGTGGCAGGGCTGGTGCAATCTATTTAAAATGTAAGACGAGAAACTAGTCACTTTTCAGTGTGCTCGTCAAGTAAATGCCGAAGCATGGTTGCTAATTTGCATGTGCAATAGAAATAACATCAATAATCTATTTATAGTTTGAGCATAGTAAAACTGCCATATTTAAAAGACCTGGAAAGAACACTGCTTTTGCATGCATTATGCAACTGCTGTTTAATACATATTATGCTCTGAATTTGTATTCGGGCAGCACTTAGGACAGAAATTAGGATATCTTACTATATTAATCTTTCTGTAACACCACTTTGAAGCTTTGACATGCGCCCTCTCTGGCAAGATTAGTTGCACTGCACCTGCGCCGGGAGAAGGCTGGCGGCATGAAACTAGAATGGAGCTAAATCTCGTTTTAGTTGGCTTCATAAAACTTGCCACTATACCACACCGCGATCTAAATACGTTTGCGCGTGTGATAGATGTGCAACCATACCTCATTTTACCATTCATTCCATATAGGACATACAATCATGGGAATTTCGCATATCAAAGGCCTTTTCTTTCCGTTGTTCAGTAATATGACTGTTTGTTTGTTTTATTTTGTGTTTGGTTTACTAGACAGAAACGACTCCTATGTAAACAATTCCTTCTTTTGCCTGGCGAAAGTTGTCTTTTCATTTCCCTGTAGCGCCTGCGGCAAGCGGCTTGTTAGGAAACTTCAAACCAGGTCCACCACGATGTTGATACCTATGCCAAAAATAACACCCAATCAAAGCGTCTGGTATGTTCCAAGATCAAGAGGGGTGGCCAGTTTTTAAAGATATGACAAAAATGATAATTACACTATAAAAATGCTAATATATATATATAATTTGTATATTCAAACTTTCGTTCAAGGGTAATTCGCTAAACTCGCTTATACTCGTACACGCTTATATCATATCGTATTACACAATCCCTCTATAAATAATGGTATATTCCACTTTGTGGTTTCGCCTCGATGTGCACAATGACCAAGGTTCAAATCGGGCGAATGTTGCTGTGGATGTATAATGTGTCTCGTTTTGTTCGACGTTTTTTTCCGAATTCGCTCATCAAACTCGTCTAAATTGTTGATACTGTGACACTGTATTGTATTGTGCATCATTCGTTGCAATTTGGTGATTTGTGGATCGTGTATCGTCTGATTACAGCGTCTTACAAGTTTTGCAGACAAACTCGTGGCGCTACGTTCGTGATCGTTGATGGCCCAACGCATTCGAATCATCACAGCTGGGTGTCACTTTTATTAATCCCCGTATGAGCTGCATCATCGGCACCTCATAATTCTGTCGTCAAGCCTGGATCCGACAAGTGCAAGTGCTGGCCTTATAATGCCACCTTATATACAATCAAACGGTACCAGTACGCCGCCAAACACTCTGCTGTTTTCGTGTCGGCCCGACGCTACGGACCAAGTGGAAACTCGGGTGAAATGCGTGTTGGTTGGCGATGGAGCAGTCGGTAAAACCAGCCTGATTGTCAGTT